CGAATAAATGATGGGTGGATGGAACGAACATATGAATGAGCAAACAAAATGAATATTAGGATGGATGGATGGATGGAAGGATGGATAGATGGATGGGTGGAAGGATGGATGGATGGATGGATGGATAGATGGATGGGTGGAAGGAACAAATGAATGAACGATGGATGGATGGAGGGAAGGATGGATGGCTGGAATGGACGAATAAATGATGGGTGGATGGAACAAACATATGAATGAGCAAACAAAATGAACATTAGGATGGATGGATGGATAGAAGAAAGGATGGATAGATGGATGGGTGGAAGGATGGATGGATGGATGGGTGAAACGAACAAATGAATGAACAATGGATGGATGGAACGAAGGATGGGTGGACGGATGGGTGGAACAGACGAATGAATGAGCAAACAAAATGAACAATACTATGTATGGATGGATGAATGGATGGATGGATGGATGGATAGATAGACAGACTGATGGATGATGGATGGATGGATGGATGGACAGACTGATGGATGGATGGATAGAAAGACTGATGGATGGATGGATGGACGGATGGACAGACTGATGGATGGATGGATAGAAAGACTGATGGATGGATGGATGGATGGATGGATGGACAGACTGATGGATGGATGGATAGAAAGACTGATGGATGGATGGATGGACGGATGGACAGACTGATGGATGGATGGATAGAAAGACTGATGGATGGATGGATGGATGGATGGATGGACAGACTGATGGATGGATGGATAGAAAGACTGATGGATGGATGGATGGACGGATGGACAGACTGATGGATGGATGGATAGAAAGACTGATGGATGGATGGATGGATGGATAGAAAGACTGATGGATGGATGGATAGAAAGACTGATGGATGGATGGATGGACAGACTGATGGATGGATGGATGGACAGACTGATGGATGGATGGATAGAAAGACTGATAGATGGATGGATGGATGGATGGATGGATGGACAGACTGATTGATGGATGGATGGACAGACTGATGGATGGATGGATGGACAGACTGATGGATGGATGGATAGAAAGACTGATAGATGGATGGATGGATGGATGGATGGATGGATAGACAGACTGATTGATGGATGGATGGACAGACTGATGGATGGATGGATAGAAAGACTGATGGATGGATGGATGGATGGATGGACAGACTGATGGATGGATGGATGGACAGACTGATGGATGGATAGATATATGGATGGATGGATATAAAGCAAGCCTCTCTCTCTCTCTCTCCGGGGACAGATTGTTGAGTGGACCGCAGCACCGATGCTCTTCATGACTCACGGATCTGAATCACACGAGCTGTGGTCGACTCACCGAGACACAGAAGCCTCAGATAAACAGCGCGTTTGACAGATGGAGACACACGCCAAAACACCCGCACACACACACACACTCACGCTCCGCCTGAAACAGAGCAACATCAAACCAGCGCAGTGTCATTAATCTCCGGCCAGAACTCGGCCGTGATTGACGGATTGTT